CATGCTACAATAGCACTACATGCATGGCGCTTGCAAACGAGCTTGCCACAGGGTGCTTTGGATCTCAGAACAAAGACATGGTCTCCCACCCATCCATGCAGATCCTCTGTAAGAGTTAGCTAATAAGGACTACAATACCCGACTGCCTGCAGTGAACCAACCAGGGACCTGGAATTAAGGGTCATTATTTTGTCTCATTAAGGACTTTGACATTCTTTAGTGACTCTTAAGGGGAGCATCTGTTCCTATTAGAAATATCTTCCATATTGCACTTCCTGTCCGAGTCTTGAATTGGTCTTTCCATCGAGAGGTGTGTGATTACACAAATAATAAAAGCAAGCCACACGTCTTTGTAGCTCCTCTCTATTCCATCATTCGCTGCTGACAAGCCCTTTATTCCGACTTCAATTAAACTGCTTTGAAGTTGGCTTGTAACTTTGTTGCCGAAATTAATATGGCATAAGAGGAGGGAGAAAGTTTGAGGGCAGTAAACTGAGACAGATGGAGAGAAATGGAGAACGGCATACGATGGCAGGATAAAAACAGCCGGGCAAATAGGAGAGATAAAAGGGTTGGTGGTGGTGCTGGGGGATGGTGGCAGCGAGGGTGCTAGGCAAAGTGAGAGAGAGTTTGTCTGTGATGTTTTAAAATTCTGGAGTGGAGAGTCCCTCCATCTGTTATTGTGGGACGGTTCTGACTCAATGATTTCGATGATTGGCCTTAATCCTGGCCAAGTGGAGAAGACAGAATGAAGAGCTTAAAGCAGACTGCTCTCACTCTGACAGGCTCCACTGGCTGCTGCTGCTGTTGTTGCAGCTCACCGGTACGTTCCATCTGCTGCCCCCTAATGGACTAACTGCTGCAAGACATTTCATTTCTCTGCACTGCTACAGCCTCTTGAGCTGCGTTTTAGGGCAATGGCAGAGGACAGACTTTTGATACAACATGAAACCATGAGCAACAGGTTTATTTTCAAATTTGATGTGATATCGCAGTGCAAGTAATAATTGTGTTCTCACATTTCCTCGCAAATATCTCTTACAAAATCTCTTGATCAACATGCCAGTGCTTGTGTCGTGTCATTGTATTTCTCACTGCCCACATTAGCTAATCACAATTTAAGCACAATTTCCTAAAAATCGTACCTTCCTGGCTCACTCTATAAAGGTTAAGTGACCCGACAGAGTCATTTCACAGTCTTTTGGTCCCCAAGGTGACTCAAGCATTCCCAGAAACTGAGTGAAGTCATTTGGAACATGTTGAGTACGTTATTCAAAGCTGCAATCACATGTACAGTCTGCATCGTGTTTTCTCAAGTGCCCTCTCACTCAAACACCCACATTGTGGGGCTGTTTTGGAGAGTCCCTGTAGATCACGCAGATGACAATGTGTTGTGTCGAGTGCCCTTTAAGTTAATGCTCAGTGAAAGGGCCTAACAGGCTCCACCAATCACACAGACCAGTGTTGAGTTGGCGCTCACCACAGCATGATGCCGTCCATCCCTGGTGTGCTGTCATTCCCTTAGAAATAACATGACTTTGAGTGATTAAACCCTTCCCCTCTGGAACAGAGCAATCTGAGCAGTTATGAATATTAAAGATCCCAGTCGTCTCATGCTGAGCTTTTCGTTGCATTTTTTCCACTGCTGTCACAATGTATCCTCCATAGTTTTTATACGGTGTGGTTTTTTGACAGTGGAAATATCTCTGAGCTATAGCTTGCTGTCTGACTGACTGTACAAACACACTGGCTTCTATTCTGGTACATACAGGGGCCGGCTACATGACGGACTCCAGTGGGTTGTGTTTAGGTTTGCAGTGTTTGTTGCAATGCTTCATGCACTGTTAACCATTACACAGTGGTATGTATGGTCTCTGACCTTGCCTCTGGACTGGGTGACAAATGGCCTCACGTATGATCCATTTTGTGGCAAGGTTACAGTTGTAGTAACATTAGAGCTTCATATTCATGTTGTTGACTCTTTGTGCATTTGTTCCTGTATCCCGTAGTGTTATTTTCTCTGTTGTGTGGGTCTGTGCTGAGCTTATCTGTGCTGTTCTGTGCTGATCTCACTATGCTCATCCAGTTCTCTAAGCTGCTTGGGCCCCAGCCACCAGCATAGATGATATATCCCTGCCCCCCTCTTTTCCACATCTCTCACTCTGATTCATTGGCTGTTTGTATTGCCAATCCATCTAGGCCAACACAGAAGAGGGAAACACACATGACTGTTTTGGAGCCGCGGAGCTGCATTAAGCTGCTCAGGAAGCGATAGGGTCCCAGAGAAATGGTAGCCCACTAGAGGAAGAGTTATGAAGTATACCTTGAGAGAAACAGCGGGGAAACATGATCCTGAAACAATGTGTTGGCTACTCAATGGGGGACAAATGGATTTTCAAAAATGATAGATTCTTGGTAATGAATACTTTGGAAAAAAGATTAATCTAAAAGAATGAAAACAATGCTTGATCATAGATCAAGTGTGCATAATGCTATAAAAAGTGTAACAAATGCAGTTTATTTTAATTTATTTAAAGGTGTCACTATTTTGTAATAGGGAGATCACAATTGCTGAGCATTCGTTGTTGCTTTTAATCCTTTAGTTAAAAATGTGGTTTTAATCAAGAGCCACTTTGGTGTTGTTTGCTGGTCTTTAGCAAAGCTGACCCTGTCTAACAAAAACCCACACAGCTACTTTTAATCTAATGGGCTCTTTGGTCTTTCTAATGGGCTCTTTGGTCGTCATTTCAGTGAGGTAATTAGAAACCTATTTCATTGTTTTATGTGTCTATTGTTTGATTAGGAAATGAATTAAATCTTATCACTGTTATTCAAGGCTCACTCAGAGGATTAAAATCATCACGCAGATGCATGAAGACACAAAGGACTGGAAAGGATCGTTTTCTAATGTTGTGTGCTGCAAATTAGGTCACTGGTGTCCTATTATGTGCATTCTTTAAATGATACAACAATGCAAACCCAAGAACTTGACATTCTGCGTTTGATGTACGTGTTGAAATCAGGAGGGCATAGTGTCTGTGTGGCTGTTTGTAAGAGGGACGGCTCATATGAGGTGGGTGGGGTTTTTAATGGAAATAGGACAGACTTCTATTATAATAAGAGTTTATGTCTTGAGTGTTTTCTGTAGATAAAAAGTCTCCCATGGTAGGGGATGGGCTTCTTCAGTGTGGGTTCACAAATGAATGAGCTCTCACTGTAGCAGAAGGTCTAAATAGGGTTAGTAATTTCAAAGCCTTGGGACTTTGTGGCCAATCAGACTATTCTGGGACAAAAATAAGATCGCCCCCTTGAGGCCCGGATAAACCTAGATACAGAGGCACAAGACAGATGGAAGGGGGAGGGAGGGGTGTAGGGAAGAAAAAAGAAACTTCCCGCTAGATTTTCTTCTTGTATAACTTTCCATACGAGAAGCCTAGATTTACACAGTAACTTCTGGGAAAGCTAAATCATGAAGCTAAAATAAATCTAAGTTGGAAAAAAGTCAACTTCACCAGCAATGTGAGCAATATAAGATGGGATGTTATTCAAACACAAATTTTTGTTATGTTGATTTTCACCGAGACCAAATAGTTTCACAAGTTGCTCCAAGTGCAGACTTTCAAGGTTTGTACCCCCCAGTTGGATGGAAGCCAGAGCACCTGAGTTTGTGGAACCCCGTTTTCAATGGATTGAATCGGACTGATCAGCTAAAAGCTTCGCGGACACTTGTTTTTTACTCTTTCTTTATCTTTTTCATCAGTTAAATATCCTAAGGTTGAGCCCATTGATGTAATTTACTTTTGAAAGCTGTCACTTTCCACAAAGAGCCTTTCTGAGTCAGCCAGACTCTCCTTAGGCTACAAAACCAAAATAAATCCATCAGGAAGATAACATATCATTAGTAGAAGTGGCCAAATCAAAAGTTTGGCATAGAAGAACACATACTGATTAAAGGAGTAGCTTGGATGTCCATATAGACAACATTGCTGGACGAACAGAGATTTTTTTTTTCAATTAAAGAAAGAAAAACACAACATACAGCCAAGTGGAGAAAACTCTCAAGTGGGCTGACATATCTTTATCCAAATTTACCATGCAAGAAATTCAGTTTACAAGGTGCAAATAAATGATAAGCTCAGAGAATAGAGAGGCCAAATTAGACTTTGCCAAAAATCCTCTCAAACTGTCACACTGTTCTTGAACAGAATTGGTTTGACAGAAGATCAACCTGCTCTTCAGTGACAGAGAGAGAAAAATATGGAAAATAATCGGAAGGACTCATGATCAGAAGTGTCCTCGTCAGCTTTACAACACACAAAAGCAGTATGGTGGCATGGAAATGGATGTCTTTTTGTGGGTACTTGGTCAGTAATTTTTGACAAAAGACAGAAGCAACAGATTATGTTTGTCTGGAATAATATAAGAAGAAAGATCTGTATTACAGCTATTTTTTCTGGGGGAAATTTTCGCCACTTCTTATCAAGTGTTTGTTTAATGATGTACTGATATATTTTCCATATCGGCTGTATCCATTCCTGTTTCGCAGGTGGCTGGAGCTTAAGCAGGCTTCCATCGGCAGGAGGCGGAGCTAACCTTGGATTAGTTAGTTGCAATTCCATCTCAGGGCCAAATAGAGAGCAAAAAGACAAAGAATCAGGCACTGTCGCATACACTCCAGTAGTCAGTTTTAAATCACCAATTAACCTAACATGCAGGGTTTTTGGGCAGTGGGAGGAATCCAGAGTTCGGAATAGAATGCACACATTCACAGGGAGAACATTCAAACTCTACACAGAGAGGCAAGGATTTGAACCACCAATTTCTTGCTTCGAGACGATCGTGTCAAAGCATTCACTAAAAAAGTCTCATCCTTTTTGCATCCCTTTTTTCCCTTTTGTCTCTCACTCCCTTTTTCAGACAAATATGAAACAGACAAACGCACATCAGCAACGCTCTGACTTCTGTTACTCACAAATGTGTTTTTTTGTGTTTCTTTGCAGAAACTGGCCAAGGAGGCTGAGCTGCTTCAGAAGGAGCACGTATGGCAAGATGGTGTAACGGTAAAGTAGGACACCCTCTCCTCTCTCTTTCCCAGGATGACTTCTATCTTTTTTCTTCACAAGACAAACTAGTTTATCTTCCAATCACTAGCCTGTTCCCACCTGTTTTCAGCTTCCACGTGATTATGTTCCACATATTGAAAACGTTTAATGACAATGTGATCAGCATCACAGAGACTATGTGATGATTAGTGAACAAACAATGATAATCATATGTCCTACATATATTCACGCTGACTAAAATGGCTACCTTTTGAGGTATTATCTCAAGGATTGAGCATTTTGTTACATAGGATACATACCAATCTTTGCATTATCTTGCAGCTGACCCTCAAAACAGAAGGGATCCCCTCTTGTAACCTAAAAATGGATAATGGTATTACTCTGTGTGTTTCCGAGTCTGCCCACTTCTCTTAAGGTCAAATAATTCAAATTCCCCACAAACATGAGTGCCTGCACAATCACACACATGCACTGCAACAAACAAATGCATCTTATGAAACTGTAGGCATGTTCAATACGTGTGAGAGCAAACGTTTGGCTCTTTCTTAAATTGTCTGCGCTAATCAATCCACAAAGGTAATGTTGTACAACTGTGTTTGTCTCACCCTCAAACCCATATTAGTAGAACCTGTCATTCCAGATGAGGTGGGCCTTGTGTGATTTAGGCCTTTAACATCTCTGTACTTTGCAGTTCATGTAAAAGATGTAGTATTACCATGGCAACATCTCAAGAGTTTCCTAACGATCCTCCAGAATTGCCAATATCTTTAATCAATTTGTGTGAACATTTAACAGTCACAAGTACAAAGGACACTGTTTTCAATGTCTTCACTCATCAGCCTCAGACTATCAACGAAATAAAAGCAAATATGTTCATTGATTATGTCAGCACAGTAAGGATAGAAAGGTATTTACCATTTTATGACCTCTTCCTTTGAATGATAACTTTCTAAAAATGATTTGTAACTGAGAAGGCTTATTGTTGACATTTTACCTATCAATCAGTGTCCACTCTTGCTGACTACAAGAATTCAGTTGCTGGACAGTTCCTAAACCACGGGCTGACACTGTTTATGGAGCCCTGCTGCCTTGCAGAGAAAGGTTTAGCATTGCTCTGCTGAAATAACCACTAGTCTTCTTGGAAAAGATTGTACCTTGATTGCATGCAAATGTTTCTCCAACATGCCAGTATAATGTTATGCATTAGTAATAGCCTCACACGTGTGCAAGTCATTCATGCCACTGGCACTGATGAACCCCCAAATTATAGCAGAACCAGATGTCCCCAAAAAAGCACTCCAGTACGATAACATGTCTTTACTGTCTTCTCTCCACCGAGATGCGCTTGTATCCTGAACACTGCTGTGTTTCCACTCAGTTGATACAATATGCCGCTTCCGCCTTGTGCAATACAGTTATTTTACATTTTTTAATGCAGTGGCAGACCATGTAGAGGGAAAATGATTTTCCAAAGTACTCCTGAGTCTATGTGGCTGTATGATGATTTCTCATGCATTGCTGCCTCAGGGCTTGAAGGTCATGCACATCAAACAGTGGTTTTCAGCCTTTAAGCACAGAGATTTCCCAACACCATTAGATTCTTTTTAGAATGTGTTTTTTTAAAATGTAAAAATGTAAATAGTGAAAAAAAAAAATCTTTGAAATCTTGTATTGAGTTTTTCTCTTTTTAACTCAATTAATATTCTGATTGCTTTTGCCAGACAATGGTGAGCCACGGCCAAGATGTCTTAATTTTCCATAAACAACGAAGTTGATCAATGAAGATTTAAAATAATTTCCTTTGTACAAGTTTCTGTTTAGATAAATTAGTTGTATTTGTTATAAGAATGTGTACAGTGATTGTGTGACTTGGTGAAAAAGACATTTATAAGGCATTTTGTGTGTGTATTAATATCGATAAAAAGATTAACATAAATATATACACATCCAACACTTTTGTATTCTCTGCTGTCATATCCGTTGTCTCTGGGGAGACAAGCTCACTGTCATGGTACACTTCCCTCAAATGGATTTTTAACCCCATGCCTCCGGGGGATATTTTAGAAAAGACTTTAACTGATTCAAAGTGAATAATTATTAGCTCTACTTGACTGCAAAGTCCATTTTTATTCATGGTTGCTTACACTCTTGTGAAGGCTGAGGTACATCCGACCCTCTCACATTGCTGGTTTAAGCAGGGAGGTTACAGTGGTGCTGTCCCTTTATTTTAGTCCTGAGGAGGGTTGATGCTTGCCTCTCCCCACCCAACTCCGATGCACCTCAATCGGATGTGAAGCCATGCAGGAAGTGGAGCCTGGGTCACAGTGCCCACACACAGCTGTTCATATGTAGCTGCACCCAATGCAGCATCAATACTCCCTCAAGTGGAAAAGCTAGAACTCTCGGTTATCCACCTCACCCTCTCCAAAACCTCTTTCGCTCTGTGTGTTGTTTGTTTCTTTTCTAGTGTATCCTTTCATTTTAAACTCTTATTGCCAAACCTTGGCTTCACTGTCACTATTCTGTCTTTACACTTTCCTCACGTTCATATACCCTTCTCTTATCTGTACGTGTGTTTAATCAGGCATGGAAACAGTCGGAATATACCATATTGTTGCAAATACTGCAAATGGAATCCCAATAGTGCTTCCCTATTAATAATGTATTGAGCTGATTTAATTTGCCTTTATAATTAGGCCAGGTAATGAATCTCAGCAGGGGCAACTGTGAAACCATTAAAAAATATCACAAAGGGGTTATGGTTGGGTGTCGAGGGGAGGATTTGGTGGGGCGGTTAGATATGCAACATGCTTGCTGGAAGATTTTCCTTGTTTGTAGATTTTGTGGTTTCCTAATGTCTCTTTGGCTGAACACTCTGCTGACTGACAGTCTAATTAGATTAGGCTTCGTGCTCTTTGGGCATATTAGGAGAAACGAGCTGCATCTTAAACTAGCGGGTGGAGCAGTCTGTCAAATGGAGAGAAAAGGTGTTTATGCATGAGAGATGGTGCATTTTGATAGAATTTGTGTGTGATGTGTGCAAGTTGTTGGAAAAACGACTTTGGTTGTGCTCATCTGTGAGCAGGTATTTATTTGCATGTGTTTATTAATGGCAACTTCTGGACCTGGCCGTGTCCATCTGCTCGCCACACCAAACTGGTGACGACAGAGAAACTGGATGACACGCCTGCTCTTCATAGCGGCTGCCGTCCCAGCTGTTACCGTAGCAATGGGAAAATCTGTCTTTTTCTAACCCACGCTCGCATTCAGGTGTATTCCTGGTTATACGGCTGAGCCAGTGTCTGACCCCTCTAACTGTTGGATGTTATGGATGTCCAAATTTGGATCATAACTGTTGAGATGGTTGTTCTGGGTTTTAAATCAATTGAAATGAAATGGTGTGTGAAATGGAAATTAAAGTGTTAGATTGCTGCTGATTTTCCCAAGGTCAGATCCCCCCCCCCTACGTGGCATTAACTATTGCTTTGGCAACATAGACCCAGGTGGCACACTCATTTAAGTTTTGCTGGGACCATGGAGAACCAGTGTCCTTAAAACCAAACACCTCACCTCCACTTTGTTTTGGTAACTACACATTGGCAGGTAAATAACCCAATGCTTCGAAATCTGGGCAGATTACATCCACCACAATTATGTTCAATGTTTGGGTTTTAAACAGGATGAGTAGGGTGCTGATTGGCCAGGGAGGCACATGACTGAACTCTTTCACCCCACCCATTTCAACGATAGACATCCGATTCCATCAATGTTGTAAATGGCCCTGCATGAAACAACCATGTGGTCCATCAGAGAGATTCTCCTGGTATCTCCACTACACAATGTCAACATGCTTTTATGTGTCACTTGCAAACATGTATGTACAATTCAGCTGTCCTCATGTATTCAAACAAAACCAGAGGAAGACTTGCATGATCTTCTGTTAAGCATCCAGAAATAGCAGGATGCCCTCAAATGAGACCATAAAGTGGATTTGCTGTGAGCAAATGAAAGATCCTTTATAGAAATGATGGATATCCTGTACGTACTTGCATCTCTAACTCTCCCAGTCTCCATATCAAAGCAAGATAGTGAACGCTTACCCATTTGCTTTCCTCACTTGTTGCTTTGGATACAAGTGATACCTGAATAAATGCAGTAAAATGCAAGAAAGATTAAATGGATAGTGAGGAAAAAAATACCCGCATCTCCTGAAAGTTGTGAAACCAATGCTGTTGATTTTAACGAGATGCAAGGTCATCTTTATTCTCAGATAAATGATACTATCAACAAAATATTATCAGCAACTTGTCTTCTATCATGGGTGGGCAGATGATGATCACTGCCATGTAGTTTATGAGGGGTTGACGTTGACACATTGGCACTGAGACACAAGATTGGATGGAAGACAGGATGGAGATTGTGGAGATTGGAGAAAGACATGTCCTTTCATTCAGATTGTGATGTGGCAGCTGCTGTACGTTGGAAATGCATTAGTGCTAATAGCTGTGCCATTAGGAAAGAGAGGGGCACTCTGATGATGGGCTGCCATGATGAAACCGGGGAGAGGGTGAAGCAACAAGGGCCATAGAAGGGGAGAGGTGTGGGTGAGAAAGCAAGCAAGCAAGCAAGTGAGGGAAGAAGGTGTAAGAGGTAGAGAAAAACGGGAAACAGAGATGGAGCCATCTTCCAGGCCATTTACTGCAATCATCACTCTCTAATCAATCAAGCCTTTCATCACAGGACAACACAGTCTCCCCTCTCTGTCTCTTCTTCGCTCTCTGCCTCTCTTCTCATGTCCTCTCAGCCACCCACTCTCATACTTAACACCGTAGTATTCATGTGACCTCTTCTGGCATTTTGCACATGTATGTTTAAAAGGACCATTGAACTAGAACAACCAAAAATAATATTCAGCAGTGCATACTGTTGCCCTCAGTGAGCATTAAGTAATTCTGTAGATGTATCATAGATTTTCCAATATATTTTGTGCAAAATAA